TGGGTAACAGTTGATCCCATGTAGCCCATAAATTTTAATATTCTGAGATTATGTTCAGCTTTCTGACCTCAAGGCTGCTGTGCCCATACCCATTTGGCTGCACTCACTGCATTGTGTGGGAGTTGAGTGTCTGCACAGGACTTCTCTGCACATGGATGCCAGTGGTCTGCCATGGAACCTGTTGAAATGTGAGACAGCCTCATGCAGGAGAGCATTACTGAAGAGAGGCCCAGTAGTTATGAAAATTACCTCATTATTGTTCACATAGGAAGACGTATTTTCCAGGAGCCCTGCGATGTAAAGAGTGAGGATATCAAGGGGGGTGGAGGCAGTAACACTGACTGGACTTCTAAGTACTGGCACAGTAATTTTGAACCGGAGTGCCACAGCGTACTGTGTGTGTGATGAGATGATCTTAGGTATGTCACGAAAAATTTTGAAGACCATTAATTAAATTATTTTTTAAAGAAGTTCAGAGCTCAGTAAATATATTCATTTTTTATTTTCTTATTTATTTTTTTCATGTATACGTTAATGCATTTATGGTGCTGATTTCATATAGAATTAGGAATGCTTACATCACACTGGTTAATATATGCCTTATCTTGTTTACTTAATTATTGTATTAAGACATTTATACTCTATGCTAATAGATCTGACATGTACCCTTGCATTATGCACCATAGGTGTGATCCCACCATTCACCCTCCCTTGATCTGACCTCCTCCCTCCCCTCCCATCCCCCCTCCTCCTTCTTCATCTTGGGCCATAGTTGTGATCTATTCTTCATATGAAAGTGTGAGTGATTGTAGTACACTCATTTTTTAACATTTTTCTTTCTTTCTTTCTTTCTTTTTTTTTTTTTTTTTTTGAGACAGAGTCTTAGTTTGTCACCCTTGGTAGAAATCACAGTTATGTACATTAATACAATTACGGGGTACAATGTGCTAGTTGTTTTTAGATATTAATTATTTTTTATTAAATCATAACTGTACATTAATGCATTTATGGGGTTCAGGGTACTGCTTTGATATACAATGTGAAATGTTTACATTGAACTAAATAACACATCCATCACAATTATACTCATTTTTAAATAGTTTTGAAATGTACCATTGCATCATGCACATTAGGTGAGGTCCTCCCAACTACCCTCCCTCCTCCCATTTCCCCCCTTCCCTCCCCTCTCTCTCTTCTTCCCTTCTACTTTCTGAACTATAGTTATGTTTTACCATTTGTATGAGTGTGTAGGTGGTTATATATTGATTTCATAGTAGTATTGAGTACATTGGATACCTTTTTTTTTCCATTCTTGAGATACTTTACTAAGAAGAATATGTTCCAGTTCCATCCAAGATGTAAAGTCTCCATCTTTTTTATGGCTGCATAATATTTCATGGTGTACATATACCACAGTTTGTTAATCCATTCATGGGTTGATGGGTACTTGGGCTGTTTCCATGTCTTAGCTATTATGAATTGGGCTGCAGTAAACATTCTGGTGCAAATGTCTTTGTTGTAAAATAATTTTTGATCATCTGGGTATATACCTAGCAGAGGAATTGAAGGATCAAACGGTAGGTCTACTTTTGGTTCCTTGAGTGTGCAACCTCCAGCTCTTGGGCTTAAGTGATTCTCTTGCCTCAGCCTCCTGAGTAGCTGGGACTACAGGTACTCCCCACAATGCCTGGCTTTTCTTTTTGTTAGCTGGCCGAGGCTGGGTTCGAACCCACCACTCTTGGTATATGGGGCCAGCGCCCTACCCACTGAGCTACAGGTGCCGCCCTAAGTTTTTTTTTTGATCAACATAATTTAAGTGTGCCATAGAAGTTTAACTATAGGTTCAAATGTGCTGTGAGATAAAAAAGGTTGAAAAACACTACACTAGGAACAAGGTTGGGTTCTTTGGCATATTTGATCTCAATCTTCACAATTATTTGAGGCAGATATTACTATGCCCATTTTACAATGAAGAAGCAAAGGCCAATAAAGTGTAGGCCTCATGCCTAAAGTCAGATGGCATACACATGTCATACTGTGAACCAGGCTTTTAATGTTATGAGCCTCAATTTTCTCATCTTAAAAAAAAAATCATAATAGGGCAGCACCTAGGAGTAGGGTGCTTGCCCCGTACACCGGAGGGGTTGGGTTCAAACCCAGCCCCTGCCAAAAACGGCAAAAAAAAAAAAAAAATCATAATAAAACCTACTGCTGGGGCTGTTTTGTAGATCAAATAAGATGCTATAGAAATGAAAAAGAGAAAAAGCAGTCCCTGATATCCAGGAACTTGCTTTGAATTACCAGCTGGTGGGTCTTAGTGTTGCTGTGAGCCGGCCTGGCACTCTTAAGGTAGGTCTAGATTCTTTCCTGTTGAACGTAAACTACTTCACTGAACATCAACATCAGACAAGGCCACTCTGTGACCATTATGGGTGAAGACAAAAATAAGACCTCTCTGTAATCATGTCTAAACACTAATGAAACATGAGCATTGTCTAAGCCACAAACCGCCAAACGTCTCCTTCTCCTAATACGAGTGACAGATACCGCTTTACCAATTACAGCTCTAACCTTGCTTTGGCCTGCCTTCCCTGTGGGTAAGATTTATTGAGATATCTATTCATAGAATAGTTTCTGCTTTCAGACAGATCCTAATTCAGAGTAAGCCTCCACTTCTTAGGACCTTGGGTGGGATTCTGGAAAAGTCGTGTGCTTTTCTTCTCCATTTTCACTCCCATTCGGAGCATAGTCTTACTCTAAAATTTACCAATATGCAAATATTTATTTCCAGAATTTTTGCTCACTTTGGAAAAAATATCCTAAAAGATAAAGAAGGAGACCAAAAAGGATTGTGGCTCAGAAGAAATGTCTAGACTGTAGAGCCAGTAGCAGATCAGACACAGAAACTCAGAAATAGAAAGGATTTTGATAATTGCCTCTGACAGCCAGTCATTTAGCCTGTACTTAAATGCTTCCCATAATTGGGAGCTCACCACCTTCTAAGAAAGACCATTCCATTTTAGATTAGCTCTGTGTTAAAAGGTCCCTTGTGCATATTGAACCGTACTATGTGTTGATAACCCTGTTTTGCCATCTGGAACCATGAAGATCAAGTTTCCTATGTGACCATCCTTTGATTATATGAAGAGTTGTACTCCTATACTCCCTTTTCCGCTCCCTATACTCCTTTTTCTTACAAGCTAAACACCTATTGTTCCTTCAGTAGCTCATCATATGACAATTTCAAGATGGTTTCATCTTCTGGTAACTTTAATGTGATATCCTCTAAAATCCATACCTTAAAATGTGAGGGGGGAGTACAGAACTGAACACAGTGCTCAACGTATGGTGTGACCAGCACAGAGGACACTAGGACCAGTTCATTTTTGTGGGCAATATATTTCTAATAATGTATTTTAGGATTCTATTTTTTGAGAGGCTATGTCATGCTGCTGACTCACTTTGCAAATATAGGTCTTTTTTTCACAAGAAATGCTATTTAGTCATTTCTCACCAATCCTGCATCTCTATAACTTATTTTTTGCCCCTGAGTGTATGAATTTACATTTTAAATTATAACCTATTTGTTTCCGTTTGTTCATCTATTTGAGCTAGAGCATCTCATCCAGTATACTGGCTGCTTCTCCCAGCATTGTGAGTTGTATGCATTTAAAAAGCAAATCTATCTTTATCCAACACGTTGATAAAAAGTTTAGATGGGCCTTATTGAGAGCCATATCCCTTGGTGAACCACCATGAGGTCACAGATTCACATGGGAGGAAAGGCCCAAGCCTGGAGTTTATCAGAACCTCTAGGGGATTCCTATTTTAGTCTCTGGTTTATAGTACAATTAGTACTATTACTTATTTTCACATTTAAATTGTCCCATATTTAGTCAAGTTGGTTTCTTGGGTCCACTTTTTTACCCTCTGACATAAGATGTTCCAGATTCATCTTATACTTTCCCTGCCTCAGTCCTAGAATTGGCCATTTCTCCAAGAAGCCCTGTAACTTTTTGATGGAGAATGGTATTTAGAAACAAAATCTCCGCTCTGGGTGTGCTTATTGCATTGACGACCGCTGCTTCCAGCAATGGACAAAGCTAGAAAACATGTGTATTTGTGCATATTCATGCCTCTACTTTTTGTATATATATTTATTTCTATGTATCTGTTGACTAATCTGTCTTGAAAACAATGAATTCACATGAAGATCTTTAATTATAACCAACACTGCAGGTTCATTCTATATTTCCCTCTTTCTATTATATTTCACTTCTCTGACAATGAGAAACCATTATCTTTAATGCATTTATTTATTTGCTCATTCCCCTGTATGAAACCAACCCACTGTACTATAGTCCTGTGCAGACCAATTCCCCACCAGGCCACAGCTGTCCAGCTAGGCTCTAAAACCTCACTGGGCCTCTGCTGCCCCTTATCAGCCACTTTCCTCATCTGAGCTCTGAGATGTGGCCACCTTTTTCACTTAGACTTTGGGACAGAATTATTCAGGGATGAAAGAAAGAAGAAAGCTTATCCATTAGTTTTGGTTGAAGCATAACTTACATACGGTAAAATGCATATGTCTTAAGTGTTCAACTCAATGAAATTTCCTGTTGAACACCCATATAATCATCCAAATTAGGCACTCCAAAAAGCCTCCCAGATACACCCACCCCCAAATAACCACTGTTCTAAACTTTCCCCATAGATCAGTTTTGTTTATTTAATTTTTTTTTGCTTAGTCAAACAATTTTTATTACGTTAATGGTCAGCAGTAAAAGTGCAATTATATGAAAAGCCTCATGTTTCGTGAGTTTAATCTGTTTTTCACTGTCTTTACTTATAAGGCATTGAAGGTGGGCTCTACTCCCTGAATCTTCTTTCTAGTGGTGGAATAAGGTACATATTGTTCTGGGGTACCACTCACGTTCAATTTATGGCTTGTCCAAACAAATTTATGAGCAGTAGGTGATTTGCTGTTGGTGGATCATCAGTCATACAGTGAAGCCAGCAATGCCATGGAGATGGCACGATGCTTCCATCCACGTCCCAGAATGTGTTTTTGCCATTCATTTCGGTAGTGTATTGACAGCCAAAAAAATTGCTTGTTGTCTTCATAGTGTTTGTTGCCATACTTGTCTTCCCCCATTAATATACCAACCTTCCCATATTTTGCCCTGAAAAACATCTTAGCTAGCCACGGAGGCTGCTGTGACTGTGGATCTGCTGCAGCCTAGGCTTTAAGACCTGCACGAACTTCATTTTATCTACCTTTGCTTATTTAATTTTTAAAACCTTTTTATTTTGAAATGATTTCAAATGTGTGGAAGAGTTGCAAGAATAATATGAAGAACTCCTCAAATCCTATCACCCAGGCACAGCATGCATTAACATTTTGCTGCTTTTCTGTGCATTTGTGTACTTTCTTTTCTGAAAAATGTGTGTTGGTAGAACACTATTATCTCATCTATAGAGCATTTTCGTATTTCTCCAGTTGTCTCAAATTTGCTTTTACGGCAAATTTGCACTTTGATCTAGGTTCCAATTCAGGATCGTGTATCACATTTAGTTGTCATGTCTCTTTGCCTCTTTTAATCTGGAATAGCTTTTCTTTGTCTACTAAGGCATCGATTTTTTTTTAAGAGTACAGTTGTTTTGAATAATGTCCCTCAGTTGGTTTTATCTGATTTTTTTCCTCATGCACTTTTGGCAGGAATACTACGTGAGTAGTGTTGTGTCTGTCTTAATGCATCGTATCAGGAGGGACCTGATGTCAGTTTATCCCTTTATTAGTGATGTTGAACTACTCATTTGGGTAAGGTGGTCCTGCCTTCTTTCTTTGCTATAAAGTTACCATTTATCCTTTGTAATTAAGAAGCTTTGAAGAGCTACTTGGAGACTTTGTAAACATCCTGTTTCCCTTTAGACTATTGTCCAGTTGTTTCAACACCCATTAATGATTCTTGTCTGAATTATCTATTACTGTAATGCTTGCAAGATTATTTTCTAGCTCAATTATTCCTTTCATATTTATTAGTTTTGGCATCCTATTATAAGGATGAGCTTTTATTGCTCCCCTATTTGTTATCAGTACATAATCATGGATTTTATCTTATTCAATGGGTTATAATCTACTATGGTTAGGATTTGTTTTGATTCTCAAATTCTTCCTCGTTTAGCTAACGGGAGCCCCTGCAAGCTGGCTCCTGGGTCCTTTTGACTTGTTCCCATCATTCTTTGATCACTTCCTCACCTCCTGGTACAAATAGATGTTCCAGGCTCAAATTGTTCTTTCCTCACCCCAACCCTGGAATCAGCCATTTGTCTGAGAATCTCTAATTCATCTTAGTTGAGCAGTGTTTAAAAACCAAATTCTGCGCACCAAGTGAACTCATTGCTTCTGGGGTGACATTGCTTCTAGGCAACCTGTATGTGTGCATAAAACCTGGAGTCCGTGCTGGTACCCCTAATTCTAATCTAGTGTCCACAGGGTTTCTCTTTACCTTCCCTAATTCTGTGTTTCTGTGTCCTTCATCTACAGTGAAAATTCTGGCTTCCAACAATATTGATATGTTTCCTCATTGCCATTGTACATCATAAAATATATACAAAATACTTTGGGAATCAATACATATATACTATGAAACAAAAGAAACTACTAAATACTTAAGATGGGTTTTTTTGCAATTCTTTTGATTTTTAAGTAGAAGCTAGTCACTTTGTTCAAAAGTTACTGTGATTGGTTCTTCTTCTTCTTCTTCTTCTTCTTTTTTACATCCTTCAGAATAGTTGCATTACTAATTTGAAATAAAATTTGCCTATTTTTGAGTTTCATATAAATAGTGCCATACAATACTTACTCTTCTGTATCTGGCTTTAGTTCAGTATTATTCTTAAAGATTTATCATGTTGTAAATGTCATTAGTTTTTTTCCCCATTGCTATAAAGTATTCTCTTTTTTTTTTTTTTTGAGACAGAGTCTTACTATGTCACCCTGGGTAGAGTGCCATGGTGTCACAGCTCACATCAACCTCCAACTCTTGAGCATTATGGATTCTCTTGCCTCAGCCTCCCAAGTAGCTGGGGCTACAGGCGCCCACCACAACGCCTGGCTATTTTTTTTGTTGCAGTTGTCATTTTAGCTGGCCTGGACTGGGTTCGAACTCACCGGCTTTGGTGTATGTGGCCAACACTCTACCCACTGAGCTATGGACTATACTTTATCCATACAACTACTGATGAATATTTGTGTTATTTCATGTTTTTTTATTGGAAAAATAAATAAAGCTGCTACGAACATTTTTGTACATGCCCTTTGATGGAAGCAAGCAATAATTTATTTTAGGTACTTAGTTCTCCTGACACCGGTTTAGCTTTAGCTTTGATATTGTGTAGCAGTTTGTCAAAGCAGTTTTGAATTTAAGCTCCCACCAACAATGGAGGAGTTCCAGTTATTCCACATCCACACTAGCACTTGGTAATGGCAGTCTTTTTAATTTCAACCGATCACGGCTATTACAGCAAGGTTAGAAGTTTTTGCTGTGGGATGTTTGCCTGGCCTGAATCTATTAGTTACCTCTCTTTGAATTGGGTTGTTCAGCTCAGTGCCATTTCATTCTGAAGAGTATCAGTCATTTAGGGATGTGCCTTTACTGAAATTCAGGTGTGTTCTACTTTTTTTTTTTGGCATTTTTCAGTCTGCAAGGATCAAAGCTATCTTTGATTTGAATAAAGGTTACTTTATTATTGTGAGGATTGTTTTCTCCTTTAGCGTAAGTAAGGAACTGGTGAAACAAATATGTCGTGAAACAAACGTGTCATAAGAGAACAGCTGGAAAGTCAGAACCCAAGGCAGCTCAAAGTTGTTGATCTTTTTGAACCCTCCCTAGTAGGATCTATTGCTTCCTCCTTTAGAGTTCAGAGTCTGGTGACTTACCTGCTCTTCTCTGCTGTTCTTGCTGCTTCCAATTCCTCTGCCTGTAGTTCTTCTCCCATATATTAATCTTCCTTGTGCCTGTTTCTTCCAGTTACCACCTAGAGGGTTTATTCTCTAGAACTCTTTTAAAGCTGAATTTTCACAGTTAGCCACTTCACAGACTGTGCTCAATCTGTGCATTAACCCCCTTTGGTACAGGCATCCTTCCATAGTTCAATTAAGAAGCAGGATCCCATGGTACCAACATGGCCATTTATGATGAAGAAATCCCCTTGGGAGGGCACTGTGGGAAAGCAAGCATTGTAAGTGCCTGTCTAGTTTCAGTTGTATATGTTATATTCTAATTGCTGTGCATATTATATTCTAATTCAGTAGACATTACTCAAGCCCTTTCCTTGTCTGTCTATAGAGTAATTCTGTTGAGAAAAGGAAATGAACTGTTTATACTTAAGAACTATTCATAGTGAACCTATGCTAGTTCCTAATGCTTACAGTCTCCTTTTATATGTTCCTGAATTATGTATTTTATAAGTCCTGAGAATGTATCTGTAGAAGAGTCAAGCTCAGAGTGAATTTTATTCTGTAGAGGGCAGGGGGTGGAGAAAGATGGGGGAGGTGTCTGAAAGGGGCTTAGGATATGTGCCTGGTTGTTGGTACTCCATTTCACAGATGAGGGAACTGAGGGTCAGAGAGGCAAAGACATTTGCCCAAGGTCACATGGCTAGGAAGTGGTAGGACCAGGATATAATCCAGGGTTTTGGTTCTATATCCACTACTCCACCCTGCCTGGGAGACATTCCCCACACCCTTGCCCAAGTTATTAAAAACACAAAGGAAATTTGATAAAAACAAGCTATAGCCAAGGCAGGTGGTAAGAACTGAGAGGAGGCAGATAGAGGCTGAGAAGATATGGGAGGCTTCCTTAAGGTAAAAAGTTTTGTACTAGGGGCGGCACCTATGGCTCAAAGGAGTAGGGTGCCAGCCACATATGCCGGAGGTGGCGGGGTCAAACCCAGCCCTGGCCAAAAACTGCAAAAAAAAAAAAAAAAAAACGAAAAAATAAAAAAATAAAAAAAAAAGTTTTGTACTAGGCTTTGTAGGGTTGGCTGGATTTAGAACAGTTTGGAGAAGGAAAAACAGTGCGAATAAGATACGAAAGTGAGGAAAGAAGGGATTTTCCAGAGACAGAGAAGAGACTCGTGTTTTAAAAGATTTATGTAGGAAAGAACTGAAAGATCAACTGTGGTGTAAAAAGTTAAGAGACTTAGACAATTAAAAAAAAAAACAGAATATGACATCGTGGTGAGAAGAGAGGTTGAAGTCCTTGGCTCTAGGTGGCATGAGTGGGCCTGGTGGCTCACGCCTGTAATCCTGGCACTCTGGGAGACGAAGGTGGGAGGTTTGCTTGAGCTCAGGAATTTGAGATTAGCCTGAGGAGGAGCGAGACCACATGTCTTCTAAAAATAGAAACATTAGCCCAGCATTATGGCCAGCACCTATTGTCCTAGGTACTTGGGAAGCTAAGGCAAAAGGATCTCTTGAACCCAAGAGATTGAGGTCGCTGTGAGCTAGGGTGGTAACATGGCACTGTCTCAAAAAAAAAAAAAAAAGCCTAGGTGAAATGAAAATTAAAATTCAGATGGTATCAGCTGGAAATCACAATCCATTTGAGAATCATCAGGAAGGTAGAATTAACAGGATTTGGGGACAGACTAAATATAAGGATGGGGGATATAAAGTAGAGTTTGGGCCTTTGTGATTGGGGCTCTGGTATAAGTGTCAGAAGAGAGGGCAGTTTGCACAGTGGGTAAGTGCATAGGCTTAGGACCAAGGCAGACCAGGGACCAGGATTTAACTCCTCTGAATGGATTTGCTGACCTGTTGAGCAGTGAGACGGATTTCCACTTTGCAGAGTAGCTGTGAGGATGCCAAGTCATTCAGGTAAAGTTTAATTCTGCAATGTCACATACTTGGCACTTGCACCAAACCTTAGCTCCCTTCCCTCCCACCCCAACCTCTCTGTTTGGGGAGATAGTAAAACCTAGTTCAAACTTTATTTTTCTTAAGCATGTAATGTGCTTTAATAAAAGGGAATTGGCTTTACAGAGACAATGAGTTCTTCAACCCTGGACTTTGAGTTGAAGGACAGATGGAGTCTCCTGGTCTTCTGGTCCTATTTTTTGTTTATTTCTTTATTTCCTTCCTTTGATGTCTAGGCTTCAGTTAAAAATACTGGCCCTCACAAAGGGATTTAAAGGTATAGTGTTTCCAGAAGCAAGCAACTGTTCTGCCTCTGGTGTCGCCATTACCTCCTCCGTTTGGGACA